AAAATTGGAAAGTTGAAATCTTTAGGCTACACATTCAGTCCTTCAAGTGTAGACATTCAGAATAAAAGTAAAATGTAGATCATCATACATAGTGTTAAATTTATAATTTTTATTGTGAGACGGTAGCATCATTTGTGTCTTACAGACAGCGCAACAATTTCAAGTTGCACTTTAACATCTTTGTTTGTCAAATCTCGAGTATATGGAACTATGCTCATGCATATGACAGAGCAGAGGGGGCAACCTTCATATCTAGTTTATGTCTATTGTTTTATTTCGGTAGGAGTTGTGTAATCTGTTGTCTTTTGTTCTTTTCGATATGTACCGAATGACGTTTACATGTGTAAAGCAAAATATTGTCCTATGAAATATTGTCCATATTTCATGACTATGTATCATGAAATATTGTCCTCATCTATGGAAAAATGTCCAGAGAAGGACAAATTTCCATTGTGAAATTTTGTTTGTATATAGACAATATTTCCCAGATGAATACTATGAAATTTTGTCCTGTTAAAGGGAGGTTATCTTTTGTTTGTATTGAGACAATATTTCATAGACAGCTGGTTGTCATGAAATTTTGTCTCATGAAGGGGAGATTATCAACATGATTATATTCATGTTAGATATTGATATTTTATTTGACTGATAATAACAAATAAACACAAATTTGTATTCCAGTTACATTGTACTCCTGTACCTCCAAAACACCTTTGCAAAAAGATTCGTCAATCTAGTATTTACAATATTACTAGTACATTCAATTTTAAACATAAACAAGTGATTGTCAGTACATTTTACTTATATTTATACAGTATAATGTAGTACAAATAATGGAACATACGTTACTTAGACAATTCTTTAATCTATAATTAACCATTTAATATAAAGTATCTATGCAAGTTTGAAACTAGCTTATGTTAAAATAAATATTAGTTTGAGATATAAAATACTTACTTTACAAAACAATTTCAGTTATTAATCTAAAAATGTGTATGCTGCATGCTTGTGTACTATTTCTTATTTTGTTGTTATTTGATTGAGAAATATTGTTATGGACAGAATTTCATAGTGAAATATTTTCATGGACAGAATTTCATACTGAAATATTGTCATGGACAGAATTTCATACTGAAATATTGTCATGGACAGAATTTCATAGTGAAATTTTGTCCAGAAGGAGGTGACAAAATTTCATGAACAAGGACAATATTTTATGTTACAATATCAGGTGTAATCGGACTAAATTCTCTTGTATAAGGGAAACATATTTTCTGACTTATAATATATATAAAACAGTAAGGTAGAATGTCAGGATCTTTTCTTTGCTCGAACTGTCAGTTTCATTCTGAGGATACCGATGAACTGTCACAAACTGATGAAGCTAAGAATTGTCAGAATCTGTTCTAGGGTAGAACTTTTTATTACTGTTCTAAAGATACAACTGTCAGAATATTTTCTATGCTCGAAAACTGTCAGAATAGGTTCTAAGGTGAACAAACAGAAACAGTTCTGGGAAATGCCTGCACCTAGTCAGGAATATGACAGTTGTTTTCCATTCGTTATAACATACATATCTTTATGTGTTTGAGTTTTTGATTTTTCCATTTGTTTCCGTTTTGAATTTTCTTTGGATTTCTGTATTATTGTTATTTTACTTTTTCCATTATACTAGTATATAATCTAAATCCATACTAACATGTTTCTTTTGTATTTTTGTGTATTATATTCTGGGAATATGTTATTCGGGAAAGAGGGGAAGGACAGACTAAGGCAGTTGCCTTCCCTCTCCCGCTGAACGTTAAGTTGTCGATCTATGGTTTACATGTCTCTGTTAACTTTGTTAACTACGTCAATTCGGGGGACTGTCGTTCACGTTCTTTCGAGGCCTCCTGGTGAATAAAACAAAGATGTCGATATATTTTTATTAAAAGTCCAACCATAAATGAGATCAATATTAGTTACATTATCACATTAAGAAATAATTCATGGAAGCCATAGATTTGTTGGAAATTTACACATCAGTGGCCTGGGCCGTCACTCGAATTTTATTATTAGCGTTAGCGAGGGATAAAATTAACGAATATCATGGCTCAGGCCATGTGTAAATTTACAACAAATCTATGGCTTCCGTGAATTATTTCGATTCTAATAGGACAAATACGGTCATAAAATACTGAAGAGATGGCGGGCATGCCGTGTGTGTGGCTGTTCTATTTTACTCCCTGTTAGATAAAGCTAAAACATTCTAATAAATCTGTAGCTTGCATGAGTTATTTCTTAAATAACCGCTAGAAAAAGATGTATTTAATTCTCAAACCCAACATTTGCCATTTTTAATTTACTTTTTTTCTCGTAAGCCTCCGTCAAATCCACAGTTGACATTTCGTAACTAAGGAGCCGCCATGTTGACTTGCTGAAATCAATAAATATGCGAATAATGCAACAGAATAGAAAATTAAACAACACCTACCTCAAAAATCCATTTTAATGCAATATTATCCGAATTTCGATGGTTCACGTAACGGAAAAACCTTCAGCTTTAGCGTTTTTATTTGTATGACGTCATCTTTTGAAATGACTTAAATGCGCCAAAAGCATTAATGGACTTTCGCGGAATTTTATCTTATTTTGATTTTGTAGATTTCTCCGAGCTCTTGTGCATTAATTCTTTTTGTTATGGATCAGAATAAGAATAAAAGTTCTGTAGTCTTTTTTCAATTGCAATTTTTAAAACAATAAAATCGGCATAGCGTTTGCAAATTTAGGTTGCAATACATGTGGATTTACGTGGGAGGTATACTGTAACAGCCATTATCATGTATATCTCTGAGTCTGCGCTAAGTATAGATATATCGAGAATTTTATCACGGTGTTGTTTACAAAGCGAAAGAAGCACGTCATATTAGAATATGAGTTTGAATCTGAAAATGATCTTTAACTTTAAGATTATCGAAATACTTTATTAATTTATTGAAATAATTAATCGTGATATTAATAGTAACTTCGGTGAAGAAAGTTTTCTATTATAAATTTGTTACATTAAAATATTTATTTTGTAAAGTAATATTTTTCGTTAAACCAAAATTATTCGTTTACAAACCTGGTGAATAAAACAAAGATGTCGATATATTTTTATTAAGTGTCCAACCATAAATGTGATGTTTGGTCCATTATGGTTTTCTATTTTAAACCCTAAGGACAAGTGCTGATTTGACTCGTTTTATTCACCAATCAAAATACGTTTAAGAATAAATTATTTTTATGAGAACCGTTTCTATTGGTTAATTTATAAATATCTTTTTTTTTCTACTTTACATTTTTGGGGTACTATTTGAGATAATATAATACTTTGTTTTTACGACCAATAGAGAAAATCCGATTAATTGGTTAGAAAGAATTCTTAGTGGACAATAGAAGAGAATAGACAAATTTGCCAAGGAAATACTTCTAAGAGTTTAAGCTGTCAAACCTTATTTATATTCTAAGTGTCAAGTTTAATCAAATATTTTAGCTAATAGAAAGAATTTCAACATCAAAGACTTATATATTAAAAGTTACCTAACATAAACTCTCTAACTATATCTTTTTATACTAAAACCTATATACAATAATGAATGAATTTCTATGATTACATGTGGAATCCACTTAGTTTTATTTGAAATATTAGAATTTATTTATTAAACATTTTACCTTAATTCATCATCACTATAAATACATAAGAAAATTTGCAACATATATGTTTCCATATGTTTTCAAACATATGTTTTTCATATGTTTGAAAACATATGGAAACATATGTTTGAAAACATATGGAAACATATGTTTAGGCCCGATATGAAAACATATATTTTTGAACATATGAAAAACATATGGAAAACATATGAAAAACATATGTTTTTAAAAAACATATGAAAAACATATGTTTGATATATATATATATGTCAACATATGGAAAACATGATTTTTACAAACATATGTTTTTCATATGTTTTTCATTTGACCCTAAACATATGTTTTCTTACCAGGCCTAAACATATGTTTTCATATGTTTTATCTTGGTCCTAGATATATATTTTTATGTTTTTAATCGTGTTCAAATGCATTCCTAAACATGGTTTTTATGTGTATTTTTTTTTTTTTGCTATAGGTTTTTTTTTGGTTACTTTTTGATGTTATAATATGTTTTTTGCATGTTTTTCCTTGTTATCTATTTATTTATTTTCCTGTCAAGAACTCAGTTTGAGTGTAAATACTTCAGTGTGATGAGTTGTTGCTTTTTAAAGTAAAATAACCAAACTACCAAACTCCACAGAAAAACTCTAAACTCATGGCAAAATCAAAAGCTCGAACAGACACATCAAACAAATAAAAAAAACATAAAAAATCTGGCACACGGTCGTGTACTTTTGTTTTGTTTATGACGTTTCTACATGTTATATTTTATGAAGTATAGCAACCGATATTTGTGTGTAGGGCAGCATGATTTCATTTCCGTAGACTTCTATGAGCATGCTTACAATTATTGCGAACACATATTATAATTACAGTAACGGTAAAATATTAAATTGTTCTTTGCTTTTGATTCATATCATAATGGCAAGGTTCCGCTATCTTTGATGCGGCAAACATTCCGCTTAATTTATAGTAAAATGCTGATTTTGCTCTGGGTTTTGTTTTATTATCCTTACATACTGGTGGAGAGGTGTACTTTTATGCATTGATTGAATAAAAGAGGGAGGTTGAAATGCAACCAACCATCAAACTGAATAAGTATCGGATGGCCTGAAAGTAATGCTGCTTCAATCGGATTTATATAAATTTTCTGTATTTAATTCCATTTGTTTTATGAAGCTGCAGACTTTTAACACAAAATTACCTTACATGCATATAGGAATAGGGACAATTTCACACTGTACTCTCACTGTGAAAAATGATCAATAATGACGAAGGCCAATTGTTGCGCCGAAATTTATAATAAGATTGTTTTACAGTAGAACTCCTTGGATTGTGTGATATTAAAGACATTATAATAAACAAGACCAGTATCTGTAGAGAAGGATATAATGAAATGGCAAGAAACCGACATCGGTGAGTTTAATAATACGATAATTACAAAAGCCTATGCGAAATGAGTTTTCATATTTCGAATAGGACCCAAGAGACCGAAATTTTGCCCTATATCCTGATCGCTGCCATTTCGACGGTTCAAACAAATAACTGCATTTTACAATTCACAATTCCAACTTTTTCTACGTATGTATTGTATGTTGCAGGTTTTTGTTGAAATCTGACATCAAAATTTTCCTTCTGGAAAACATTAGCCATAAACGTATTCAATAAGAAAATTGTAATAACAGATGTATGTAGAATGAACATTCCGCACACAAAAAAGTGTTCCCATGCGCATAAAACTAACATTAACGTAAGTAAATAGATTTGACCACATGTTATTGAAAAGCATGATAAATGCAGGGTATCCAATTTAATTTAACGACATCTTGGTGTTAATATCATTATAATTCGTGTTTGGATAATGCATGACAAATATAACAGTGCTAGCAACAACCATTGTACATTACCACGGACCACAACAACCGCCAACACCTGATTTCCACGAAAGTATATACGTACATGACGTACAAACAATGATAAATAGTACAGACAACACATAGTCCAAATAGCTTGACTTGGTACAGACATAGAGTCTTGACCTCCAATTTTGCCAATCTAGACTATAATTATGTCTAGAACACCTAATAAAAAAACCTGCACAGTCCAACTACCAACAGGATATCTACTAACTTTAACAAGAAAATTAAAGGAGACAAATGTTTTGGGATACAAAATTAAAAAAAAATGTTCTCTGTGGCCAAGCTAAGGTCGTCACAGATATTGGTTGATAGATAGATAGATTTATTTGATCAGACATCAACATAAAACATTACAAAGGTAGTATAAAACAATAGCAGACATGTAAACATACTTAAATCTAAGAATCTTAAATTAATTGTTGATACGTAATCAGGATTGCCCATGAAAGCCAGATGGCTTATTTCCAAAGGAGTCCATTTATGTTACATTCTTTGATAAAGTAATATGAAACCATGACTGGCAGGTTTTATACTATTTATGTTGAATTGGACGATGACATTAACCAGAACATTCAAGCTTTCCTTTTTGTGTGCTTTTTTGCTGTACATGTACTGATTATGTGTCATGGATGGATACCCGATATCCTTTGTTTTTCTATTAATTCATTGAATTAAAAAATGGCTATGAAAATCATTGCTTTCCTTTTAGGAGAGAAAATCTTTAACATTAGATTTAAAAGATACAAAATTGTTGTTGATCTTTAAATCATTTGGCAACAAGTTCCAATCCTTTATAGCATTATGATAAAATGTTAAAGACTGTTGCCCTTTTATACATTTTTTAGTTGGTATGAAAATGTATTCACTAGATCTTTGATATTAAATTGTCATAAGGGCTTTTGCTATAAAATATTTTATATTGATTGAGACTTAGTTGTTTGACACTATTTTCTACATTTAAAACAACAATGCTATTTAGGATATTTAAATTTACAGAAGTTCTATTTTCCATATCTTGAATAAATCTGACAGATTTATTTTGAAATAAAATGTACTTGTAACTTTTTTCTATTTGTTTTTTACACAAACAGAAATACCACGCCCAACATGCATAATCAATATATACATTGTCCTAAAGCATTATATAAAGTTTTTCTAGACATCGAACATGTCTGTAAAGGAACTTCAGTCTTGAATCCCATCTTTATACGACCGCAAAATTTTTGCGGTCGTATATTGGTATCACGTCGTCGTCGTCGTCGTCGTCGTCAGCGTCATCCGAAGACATTTGGTTTCCGGACAATAACTTTAGTATAAGTAAATATAAATCTATGATATTTTAACACAAGGTTTATGACTACAAAAGGAAGGTTGGGATTGATTTTGGGGGTTATGGCCCCAACAGTTTAGGAAAAAGGGGCCAAAAAGGGGCCCAAATAAGCATTTTTCTAGTTTCCAGACAATAACTTGTGGAACAGTGTATGGAATTGTCTGAAATTATACCACAAGTTTCCATACCACAAAGGAATGGTAAGAATTGAATTTGGGTGTTTAAGGCTCAAACCGTTTAGGAATTAGGGACAAAAAAGGGGGAAAAACAAGGGTTTCCAGGTTAATGGACAATTACTTAAGTACAAAACATAATTTAAAAGCAGTGTAAGGGAGGTAATTCAAACACAACATTGACAATGGTTTGAATTACCTCCCTTACACTGCTTTTAAATTATGTATAAAGAAATGTATTGTCTTGAAGTGATTAGCTGTCAATTTATTTTTTGAAATTACTATTTTAAAAATGCTGATGAAGGTAATTTAATTTTAGCCATGATTATGTACGTCATTTTCTATTTTAAGACTTTAATGATGTATTTGAATGGGTTATTGTGGTTGAAAACTCCATTGGAAATTTGACAATAACTTTAGTATAAGTAAATAGAAAGCTATGAAATTTAAAGACAAGGTTTGAAACCACAAAAGGAAGGTTGGGATTGATTTTGGGGGTTATTTTCCCTACGGTTTAGGAATTAGGGTCAAAAGGGGCCCAAATAAGCATTTTTCTAGTTTCCAGACAATAACTTGTGGAACAGTGTATGGAATTGTCTGAAATTGTACCACAAGTTTCCACACCACAAAGGGATGGTTAGGATTGGCTTTGGGGGGTTACGGCTCAGTCTGTTTAGGAATTAGGGACAAAAAGGGGGAGAAAACAAGGGTGTCCTGTTTAATTGACAATTACTTTAGCTTTGTTTCTTTATGTTGGTATTTTTTGCTATTTGTATGCTAGTTCTAGTATGAAATATTTTTTAGCTGTTTCTAGAAACATCAAATACTGCGATTTAAATACATATAATATTAAAATAGTGTATATCAAAGGGTTCAGTGGTAATAAGTTTTTATAATCAGAATTGGTAATTCTTTGTTTGGGTTTTTTTTTGCATTAGAGTTACCTCCCTTACAAACTTTGTTTGATTTCCACTAAAATTTAATTTTTGGGTTTTTTTTATATGCTGAATCTAACCATGTTGTTAAATTTTAGATATCAGACCATTCTAGATAAATTAAATGTCCCATTTCAAATTTTTAAGATCTTTGACCACATTTATTTTGTGTCAGAAACCTGTATTATGTCAAAAAATTTGATCACAATCCAAATTCAGACAGTATCAAGCTTGAATATTGTGTCCAAACTTGCCCCAACTGTTCAGGGTTTGACCTCTGCGGTAGTATCAGGCTGCGCTCAGCGAAGCATTATATTGTAAAATGTTAACGACACTAATTTCCCCAGACAAATATCTGCCTATGGCTAAAGTATTTATTATTGCAGCTGACATGAAAATTGTCAACTTTTGGAAATTTGCGTTTTGAACCCCTCAAAAACATTCAGTCTGCCCAAATGAAGGGATACATTGTTATCTATCAATCATTGACTGCAAGACTGGAGTTCCTTTCCAAGTTCTTCAGATATAAATTGAATGATGATCCTCAAAACAATAAAAAAAAAAAAACACCTCTTCTGGTTTCAAAATGTCTCGTCTTTATGTTACGTTCAAATCCACATTATGAATGAGACCAGTATTTTTTTTAAATCGTCACACCATCGCAGGGAAGAACTTTTCTAACTGAAGCAGTTAGTATTCGAGTTTTTTCCATTGCTAATGAGAAATGTGTGAACTTTGTCGATTTCAAACATCATTGTATTGTGGCATAACAAAAAGATTGTAAGATAAATAACTTCTAATGTATTTTTGAGGTCAAGCCATCTCCGACAGATTTTTAGTTTGTTCTTATGTTGTGCTGTTATACCAGAGTCTCGGGTATTGAGAGGGCTGAGCGCTCACAAACATATTTAACACTGCCACATTATGTGTGTGCCTGTCCCAAGTCAGGAGCCCGTATTTCAGTGCTTTTCATTGGTTGTCGTCTGTTATACTTGTTTTCGTTAATCGGTTTGTCATAAATCAGGCCGTTAGTTTTTTTTTTCACGACGGGCCATTTATAGCTAACTATACGGTATGGGTTTTCCTCATTGCTGAAGTCCGAACAGTGATTCATAATTACTTAAATCCACGTCAATTTGACACTTAAGGATAATTGCCTCATTGACATCCATACCACATTCCCTTAATATTTTATGTTAAGAATAGTTAACTACACATGACAGCAGATTCTCACAACACATGAAAGCTTTTGAACATATGGTCTCAGAGGAGTTATTAAATTGAAATAGCGGTAAATAGTAAACAAAAGTAACCTACAAATGGTGAACGAAAAAAAAATCATTCTATGCAATAGTATCCATGAAGTGTCGGGCATGAAGTCTAACAAAAGTAGAGTTCTCAAGGTGTCATAAGGTTTCAATGTACAAACATTCCGCAAACTTGTGAAATCAAAATGGTGAAATGATATGATATAGTCAACTAGACAAGTGTAAAGACATAATTTGACAAAGACTAGCTTCCCATTACTTTGTATGATTTGTTGCTATATTCGTGTTAGTTAACTATGAGTTAAAGAAAGTATGGGCAGGTTGTAGTTGTGTACACAACATGGTTATATATAAAATGATTTGAATTTTAATTTGACTAATATTCACTAATAACTTGTATACCAACGAAAGAGCAACTCAACAACTTATGTTAAGCAACATATGAATGTAGAGGTCTACATGAGATCTTTAGTTGAAAGAAACAGCTAAATTTTTGCTTCCATATGACTGTGTAGCTCTAAATAACTCGTTAACATTGTATCAGCAGAGACTCTAAAGTACATGTATATATGTAGAAAACGAGTCAACATCAAGTTCCTAAATTGAAAAATAACACAAAAATCTATACTAAACTAGCTGACTAGTGCAAAATAAGAAAATCAAGCATTTACATGTAGAAGAAAATATGTGTTTGTTATTTATGATGTTTTTTCTTTTCCTAATTTGCTTCAGTCATTACATGTTTATGTATTTTAACTAGGTAAAAACAAGCCAGCAAGTATTGCTATAAGTGGAACAAAGCACGATATTAAACTGTTGGAAATCACTCGTAGAAGACATTTTGCATTCGATTTAGAAGATAGAGGAAAGGTAATGGGTTTAAATTGAGTACACATAGCAGAAATTTAATTTTCGCTTCGTCGGTGTTCAGAGAAATCCTAATTGAATTGCTTCTCTAACAGATGTACAGTTGGAGATATTGGTCACAAAATTCGTATTTGCTGTGTTGATTATTTTGTTTTAAGTGGTGTATGAAAAAAAAAAAATGAAAAACTACGATTATGCAGCTTTACTCGTTATTTTAGTCCGTTTGACTACAAACATCTACCCTTAAAAAAAGAGAAAAAAGATACCATTGCAGCGATCAGCAATTATAAGTCCGATAAAAAACAGACGGCACCACAGGCAAAAACAAAAGAGGAATTCAAAGACAAACAAAAATTAAAAAAAAAAAAAAAACATTACAAAGGAAACTTAAGCAACACGCACCCCACCAAAGTCCGGTAGGTGAACTTAGTTGGTCTGGAAGGATAAGAGATGTGCAGATCTATTGTCATCAATAATGTTATGGTCCATCAACATAACGGCAACATTTACTGATATAGAACACACGTGTGAAATGAAATGAATGATAAAAAGGTTTTTTGTCTTATATTTTTGTTTATCTTATTTGTACGCGATCTTGGCGTTTAAAAAATATTTAAAGACCTCAGTTATACTTGAAGCTCTTGAAAAGGGGTATATTTGATAGAAAAAATAACTTCTTTCTGCGAATAAATAATTTACAGGTTGATTTAAATTAATTTAATATTGCATTCTATGTCCAAGTGAGCGGTTACGACCCATACGGATCTTTAGTTTATTTAATTTCGTATATTTAATCACATTTGAGAAATTATTAAACATATTTTGTTTCACGGCTAACTTGACAAAATGTTGTATCTTCTCACTCATTAAAAGTTGTGTCCCGGCATGCCAGATCCCATAAATTATATGTATATATCGGGTTATACAATCCAGCAATCCTGTCAGTCAAGAGCATAAGTTAGTAATTTAGTTTCGTTTTTCAAAGCTTACTGTTGTATCATTTATAATAGTCAGTCATATTCAATGTGCTTTTGTCTAATTATTCTTTAATAAATTGCATAAAGGGTAGAACACTTTACAAAATGGAACATCTCTGTGAGCTCATAAAAAATTTAATCAGAACAGTTTTGATATAGAATCAGTAGTCTATACTGTTGATCAGACTATGTTCTTTTTTAGTATATTTTCTCAAAATGGACCAACTGTATTACCAATTTAGCTTGTTTATGTTATGGAAATACCATAACTACGTCTTCTGATATTCGAACACTTCGTTCTGCTGTAAATATAGACTATGAACATGAACCTATAAATCGAAAGGAGTGGTCACCAAAAAGTGGAATAAGCATCAGCAAACCATATAAGCTGCAATTAAAGTCGAAAAGGTAACCTGTTCATTCTGAATCAGTCTATGTGAAGTGGTTGTATTTTTTCAATACACATCAGGGGTATTCCATCCTCAAAGTCACAACATAATATACTGTCTGTTAAAGAATAGTTAATGTATCTGTTTGAATCTATTTTTGTTTTTGTTTTGATAAAAAATTGTGCCATAATATTATGGCTTTAGCACAAATTTATTTAGTTGTTATGTTCGTGAACTGACAAATTGGCTACGAACAGTAGGGAAACGTTAGATACAAGAGAACTTGTATATGCAAATTAAGCCTTACCTGGAAGATCTGCTGAAGAATATATTAATTTTTTAACTTAGTTGTCTGTAATATTTCAAAAAAATGAATTTCATTTACATCGTTCAGAAAAATTTATCAAAAAACTTGTTTTCGTCCAGAGATCTACAGCGCAGCAGACAATTTTTGGTACTGTCTAAACCGACCCATCTCCAAATTTCTATTTACATATTATATGTTTTTCAATATCAATCTATCCTTATTGAATCTGTATGCTAAGCCTTTTGAGAATATAATAGCACATAATTTTACCAGACTCAAGCTAGCGAACAATAAGCCAGCGAACAATAAGATGCATCAAGCTAGCGAACAATAAGCCAGCGTACAATAAGAAAACGCGCCAACATGATTATGCCTAAAAACCGAAGACTTGCAATAACACGAAACGTACTTATAAATCTGATGACAATAATTTCCAGTAGGAAGATGAAATGCAATTCCATTTTAAAACAGACAAAGTTAATTAGTTATTCGTGTATTTAATAAAACTTTATTTTAAAGCCTAAAATTCCTTTTAGGTAATCCTTTCTCTTTTCTCTCTGATTAGAGATGGGTTTGTTGTCTTTATAATAATGAAACAATTAATAACAACAGTTCACACTCAACTAGTGTAGCGATACAATAAAATCTTCAAGCTTATATATACGATTGAAAAGAAAAGAAAAAAAAATTGTTAGATTTTCTGTATAAATTAAAGCTGTTAACTATCGTCAAAGAACTAGCTAGTTCATTTTTTTCCAATTATTCAAAAGTAAATAGTCACTCTGGTCATTTATTTATTATATTTCAATAAGAAGAGTGATAAGTGTAAGAGTAACACACAAATAGAACGAAAAACGAGTTGACATAAAGATTTTGGTTAATCTAAACGACAATTTATTTGAATCCAAGCCAATGTAAAATAACTATAATCCGTAAAAACTTCCCTACGGCAAAACTTATGTCCCCACTAGGTACAAATGATAGACAATTGCCCAAGGTTGCCTGGACCCAAAGACCAAGGTGGGTAAAATTACGGAATTTTTTTAATTGAGGTCCAAAGTTGGGGTAGGGTGAACCTACCACCTCCCAACTTTAATTGATAAAAAAGTCCCTACGGCAAAGCTTTTGTCCACACTAGGTACAAATGATAGACAATTGCCCAAGGTTGCCTGGACCCAAAGACCCAGGTGGGTAAAGTTACGGAATTTTGTTAATTGAGGTCCAAAGTTAGGGTAGGGTGACCCTACCACCTCCCAATTTTAATTCATAAAAAAAGTCCCTACGGTAAAGCTTTTGTCCCCACTAGGTACAAATGATAGACAATTGCCCAAGGTTGCCTGGACCCAAAGACCCAGGTGGGTGAAGTTACGGTTTTTTTTTAATTGAGGTCCAAAGTTGGTGTAGGGTGACCCTACCACCTCCCAACATTAATTCATAAAAAAGTCCCTACGGCAAAGCTTTTGTCCACACTAGGTACAAATGATAGACAATTGCCCAAGGTTGCCTAGACCCAAAGACCCATTTGGGTAAAATTACTGATTTTTTTTAATTGAGGTCCAAAGTTGGTGTAGGGTGACCCTATCACCTCCCAACTTTAATTCATTAAAAAAGTCCCTACGGTAAAGCTTTTGTCCCCACCAGGTACAAATGATAGACAATTGCCCAAGGTTGCCTGGACCCAAAGACCCAGGTGGGTAAAGTTATGGAATTTTTTAATTGAGGTCCAAAGTTGGGGTAGGATGAACCTACCACCTCCCAACTTTAATTCATAAAATAGTCCCTACTGCGAAGCTTTTGTCCCCACTAGGTACAAATGATAGACAATTGCCCAAGGTTGCCTGGACCCAAAAACCAAGGTGTGTAAAGTTACGAATTTTTTTTAATTGAGGTCCAAAGTTGGGGTAGGGTGACCCTACCACCTCCCAGCTTAAATTCATAAAAAATTCCCTACGGCAAAGCTTTTGTCCCCACTAGGTACAAATGATAGACAATTGCCCAAGGTTGCCTGGACCCAAAGACCCAGGTGGGTAAAGGTACGGAACTTTTTTAATTGAGGTCCAAAGTTGGGGTAGGGTGACCCTACCACCTCCCAACTTTTATTCATAAAAAAGTCCCTACGACAAAGCTTTTGTCCCCATTAGGTACAAATGATAGACAATTGCCCAAGGTTGCCTGGACCTAAAGACCAAGGTGGGTAAAGTAACGAAATTTTTTTAATTGAGGTCCAAAAATGGGGTAGGGTGACCCTACCACCTCCCAGCTTTAATTAATAAAAAATTCCCTACGGCAAAGCTTTTGTCCCCACTAGGTACAAATGATAGACAATTGCCCAAGGTTGCCTGGACCCAAAGACCCAGGTGGGTAAAGTTATGGAATTTTTTTAATTGAGGTCCAAAGTTGGGGAAGGGTGAACCTACCACCTCTCAACTTTAATTCATAAAAAAATCCCTACTGCGAAGCTTTTGTCCCCACTAAGAACAAATGATAGACAATTGCCCAAGGTTGCCTGGACCTAAAGACCAAGGTGGGTAAAGTTACGAAATTTTTTTAATTGAGGTCCAAAGTTGGGGTAGGGTGACCCAACCCCCTTCCTTTTTTGTCAATTCGTTTTTTGTTCTATTTGTGTGTCACTCTTCCTATCGAAATATAATAAATGAATTACCAGTGTAACGACATACTTTTGAATAAAGAGAAAAATGTACTAGTTCTTTGACAAAAGAAGAAAATTGTGTATAATGGTTATCAGCTTTTATTTCTACAGAAAACTAACAAAAAATACTTGACGTTCAATAATCAGTCAGTTTTTTCTTTTCTTTTCAAACGCATATATAAGGCAGAAGATTTAATTGTATCGTTACACTAGTTTAGTATGAACTATTGATATTAATTGTTTCATTATTATAAAGACAACAAACCCATCTTTTATCAGAGAACACTAAAAAGAGAAAGGATTAGCTAAAAGGAATATATTAAGATGCCCGGCTTAAACAAAAATTGTATTAAATACACGAATAACTAATTAACTTTGTCTGTGTTAAAATTGAATTGCATTTCGTCTTCCTACTGGAAATTATTGTCATCATATTTAAAAGGACGTTTCATGTTATTGCAAGTCTTCGGTTTTTAGGCATGATCATGTTGGCGCGTTTTCTTATTGTTCGCTAGCTTGAGTCTGGTACATTATTTACAGTATAAAACTAGTGTAATAAATGTTATTAAAAAAAGATTGTATGAGGTGCTTAGAATCTGAAATCGAATACCTTTTTCTGGTATGAAATGATGACAAACAATTGATGGAGTATATTTTTTTTGATAGTGGTAGAAGTATGTCATCTCACTTTAGAAGAAAGAGTTCTCCATTTGTTCACTTGATCATGACTAGTTTTACTCTGTGGGCATTGATTGGTGCCATGTCATGTGCAGAATGTAAGTGTTGTTATAAATCAATACATATTATTTGTGTATTTACTTTTTGATTGCCAGGAATATTAGCCACTGGACATTGAGAAATCAACCGTCAACCACTCAATCATTTTGGATTGCCCTTTTTACCTTTCACATGAATATATGCATGAAGATATACATTGAGTTATACGACTATATAAAAATAAGAAGATGTGGTATGATTGTTAATGAGACAACTCTCCACAAGCGACCGAATGACACAGAAATTAACAACTATAGGTTACCATACGGCCTTCAACAATGAGTAAAACTCAATGCATAGTCAGCTATAAAAGTCCCCGAAATGACATATAATGCAAAGGAGAAAACAAACGACAACCACTGAATTACAGGCCTCTGACTTGGGATGTAAGCACGAGTACATGTACTTGAGTCCATACAACATAAAAAAAATAGATGAGGTGTAATTGCCAATAAGACAACTATCCAGTCTGTCTAATTGTATCTTATATCGGCAAAAAGAAACCTTGTATGCTTCATTAGTTACGTACTTAAAAGTTTAATGCATGCACTTTTAATCAACATTGCGCAATATATTAATGAAGAGATATATGATGAAATTTAGTAAAATATTAACCAGTTTATGACATCTATATCCCTGTTAACGTTTTCTTTTATCACACATTTTACGATTGTCACTGCAAATTAAACCCACACATACAGAACCAACTGGGAAATATAAATTTATTATCCCTTTGATTTGAAAAATGTGAGTTGGGGTGGATCAAAATATCATTGAATATTTATAAAAATCTGTACTGTTACAAAGAAAAATCGTGTATATATTTACAGTTTTTTTTAGGTAAATATCAACCAGGTGCAATTTTGTAGGATGAGTGAAAAATTTGTAAATTGTATGTAATTTTAGAAGTTGCTATTTAATCTATTATTATTTTTCAGTCAACGTCACATGGAATATGAAAACAAATCCAGCTATTATTGGCAATAATGTCATATTAGAATGTGTTATTTTTGGCGAGGAACATTCTTGTGATGAATATCCAAGGCAGTGGTATGGAGGTGTCAACTATGGTCTACTTTGTGAAGATGGAATGTGTAGAAATAATAAAAAATACAAAGAACTTAATATATCATCTTGCATTTATCGTCTTGTGATACACAATTTTACAGAGCAAGATCTTAATCAAAACTATACTTGTTCGTATGGTATATTTAACGAGAGAAAAGGATTGACATTGAAGGATGGTCCGTTTGAATGTAAGTTATATAACAAGGCTCTATTTATTGTGTTGAACAAGAAACCACATTAAGATAGATTTAAGAGGAATACCTAGGGTCATAACTCTTAAAAATAATGATAGGTTTTAGCTAATCTAATTCCTAAATATATTTTAAGATCCTTCTTTGTAAGTAATAAAACCTCAAGGGTTTTGATTTGGGTATATAAACATCGTCATCCATTGAAACCTCCCGTCCGGCAGATAAACATTAGCTTAAGTAATGCAGTTAGCTTGGCTAATATGACAGATGCAATAATACACAAACACGTCAGGTCGGAAAAGTGAACGATAAATCTGATGCCACACTCTCCATAAAAAAAAGGAAATGTGGTATGAATGCTAATGAGACAACTATCCACCAAAGTTCAAATGAAGTGGATGTAAGTAATTATAGGCAACCGTACGGCCTTCAACATTTAGAAAACCAACACCGTATTGTCGGATATAAAAGGCCCCGATATCCAAAATATGAAACAATTCAATAGAGAAAACTAACGGCCTAATTTATATCAAAACAACTTACGAAAAACAAATATTACAGCCTTGTACCAACGACAACCACTGAACTACAGGCTCCTGACTTGGGACAGGCACATACAGAATGTGGCGGGGTAAAACATGATTGTGAGCCAGAAACTGAACTCAATTTAAACCAAAACATGCACGTTCGCAAATAGAGATCCCTGTATGGATTCCAATTTTATAGAAGCTTAATCCCTGCAAAAACCGAATATGAAGTCAAATGATCCGAAAGGGTAATCAGTTCCTGCTCCACATGTGGTACCTTTTAAACTCTAACAAATGAATGTAAAATGTTCCACAAATACATATATATTGTCTATGAGTTTGTATCAAATTCTGTTTTACAGTGCAACCAAGCAACGAATCTGTCCATAAAACAATCCAGATATCTGATGACAGCATCAGTGTTCATCTTGAGATGTCAAAAGTATACCCAATGCCAAGTTGTACTTTCTCATATGAGGTATACTATACTATTCGACTGTTTCGTGTCTCTTTTAATTATGATTAATATGAATATTAAACCTACTTGATCCTTCAATCAGCGGAATAAAAATGTACATTATATAGAACAAACACTTGTCAAAACTTTTACAAAATTTTATCATCGGTACAAGGACATCATTCGTAAATATAAATCAACATGCAGACATCTTATACGTTCAGGTATTTCACATCCAATCTTTTATGGTAATATTCTATACAAAGCACAAACATGTCTTCATTCAACTCAAAAGCTAACCAAACCTTTAAACAGACTTATTCATAAAGGATATAGTTACGATACTGTTGTCATGTCATTAAAGATCGTCTTTTTTTTTAAATTGCATTTGTAAATTGATTCCCTCATAGGGTCTTTGCATCGGAAATAAACACACATTCTTAAACCTGTTGTTGGCATGATACGGGTTGTGTTCTTCTCGTTTTATTTATAATGGAATGATACTAAACCCCCAACGGGAGGCATTGTGCCTGATTTTCACATGGCGAAGACATATAATCTTTCGATCAGTTTAATTGAGGTCTGCAGCTTACATGTCAGTAACTGCTAATAGTCCATTGTTATTTTACATTGATCACTGATATTTTGCTTATTTTCTTCTGTTACATGTATCTATTCTAGCATCGGACTCGAACTTCTTTAAATCTGAGTTTTATTGTGAGTTTTGCTGCGTGTTTGTTTATTCAGCATTGATTAGAGGTAATTAAAGGGGGAGGGTTGAGATCTCACAAAACTTATTAACCCCCGCCGCTTTTTTGCGCCTGTCCCGAGTCAGGAACCTCTATCCTTTGTAAGTCTGGTGTGTTTTTTTTTTATTATTTTGGTTCATTTGTATATTTCGGAGTGTGGCGTTCATTTCGCTGAACTAGTATACATTATTGTTTAAGGCCCAGCTGAAGCCGGCCTCCAGGTGCGGGATTTTATCGCTTTGTTGAAGACCCATTGGTGACCTTGAGCTGTTTTCTGCTCTTTGGTCGGTTTGTTGTCTCTTTGACACATTCCCCAATTTCATTCTCTATTCTATAGTATAATACTTTTGAATACACAAATGATTCAAGATTAAGAAAATACAAACTTGAAATATCAATCGAGATTTTGTTTTTCTTTATTTTTCAGTCAAAACCTGTGTTGCTAAAGCTTTTTTGAGGAGTATAGATTTTTACATGATCAACTTATAACACATTGCGTTGTATGCCATCCTACACTCCTGTACTTTGAATTAAATTTTATACAGCAACATTATAAACAGTACAGTAAAACACGTTTACGTGCAATGCCATACATAGAATTTGTAGAGAACTTTTTTACAAAAAATACTCAATATATCGATACAACATTTGATTTAACATTCTATCATTGCAGGACGCCAACACCACGGAATACGTTAAAAAATCAGTGGAAACGGTCGGATCATTTTTTAAAGTAAATTTCAATTATACCATCACTGACAAATGTGAAGGAAAAATTATGATTTCGTGCACCACTGGGTCCCACTTGATGAACATATCACAGAACTGCCCAGGTATATTTCATATTACAAATGAATTCCTGTGTGTTATTTTTAATACTAGCTATATGCGCATTGTATATCCTTAAAACGTAGTGCATGTAGTTCACACTAGAATGTTTACATGAATTTGGGAGCAGTTTTAATTTAAATGGTTCCTGCAGTGAAGAGTTTTGTAAACTCATTTATTTTAGTATAGGGTATTGTTTCTCTTTTCTCGTATATTATTAGTTATACAGTGTGCTAGTGACCTAATACGATATATATGGGGTCAGTAAATTACATATTGGGTGAGAGCGAACGAAACCATATGGAATTTACTGACCCCATATATATCGTCTTAGGTCACTAGCACACTGTTTGTTTTGTTTTTTATGATAGCACACTGTGTAACGAATTTAACTTACCGACTATCTTAACATGTTGCATTTAGACTAGTGGCCTATCAAAGTGATCAAGTCTTCAATATGATTAACCTACTTACATTGGTCTTTACAAAAAAAAATGCCAACTATAACAACTTGTTAGCTTTTAATGTGTTTTCTGCATTTATTTCAAACGTTCATCGTCATCTTCATCAATTTCTTCATCTGTTGTCCGGGCGAAACGTTTAAGATTTTTCCTCAATGCATGTTATTTTTATAAAGGGACGTAACACCGCTACTAACCGTATATTGAAATAAACCACGCCTACTAACCCCATATTATTAATATAGTAATTACTTTAGATGAAACTTGCTGGTAGCGGACACCATGTTTCATTACCCAAATTGTTCTTTTTATGCTATTATATGACTTGATGCCTTAAGTACTATGACATAAGACGGTGAACAAAATATTTTGAAAAGGCCGAACCAAACTGCACAACCTTTTTTTGTCTGATGTTAATTCTATGGAAATCAATTTAGTTTCAGGAGGAGATCGGCAATCAAGATTCTCCGTAATAATTATTGTTGGGATAGTTACATGTGTTGGTGCAATGGTGTTTTTATTCGCTGCTGCAAGTTGTTTTGTTCTGTATCGCCGTCAGCGCTGTGGTTTGGGATGCAGAGGTAAGATCTTGAATGAAGAATTGTGGATATACCACATTGCATGAGACAGCAACTATAAAGACAAAACAAAATATCTTCATCTTGTGCTAACTGTTTGAAATTATCTATTATGATATAGTCTATCTGTAATATAATTAGCGAGACAAATGATTTTAAAAGTATCTTGCAGTTTGTAATTATTTGGACCATATTTATAAAAAGGAAATATTTAACCTCAATTAAAGATATTAGAAAACTTCACAAATAAGCATTGCGATACAAAAACCAGAACAGTAAGGACCAAACGTCAGTATTAACACTTGTTGGTACTAGAATATTGAATTTACATGTAGCGATTGATTGTATTCATAATTTTTAAATACTACATAGATATAAGAAGATGTGGTATGAGTGCCAATAAGAAAACTCTCCATCTACATATCTACAAGTTTCATATCAACTAAATGGCCATTAATAAAATGTAATATCGATTTCTAACGCATTTTGTTTCTCGAAAAGACTTTTACAAATATGTGATCCGATGCAGCAACGTAGATATTACCAGTGTGAATATATATTTCGTAATCGTATACCTACCATCGGGATAGGATTTTTGTCTAAATTATAAAACAATGCTGGGGGTATTCGTCGATAAACAGCAACCCAAAAACACAAACAACCGGAAGACATCTAGAGGTCAAAACTCACTCTTCAATAAGAGACCTTGTTCTATACAATATGTACCAAATCTTACATTAAAATACTATCTTTGTGATAAAAAAACTGCATTCCTTACGTTAATTTATACAATATTATATGTTCCAAAACAGGAAACACTTGAAGTGCAGTAAACATGTCTTGATATTCAGTAGAACAATAACCTTATGATGCTCACTCTTTTGTTGTCGGATTATTAGAACAATATATTTTACAGGCTTCAAACATGTTTCTGCTAGCCTCGTGTGAAATATTTGAATGTGAAGATAAGATATTGTGTTAATTTTCTGAAGATTAACTAAATGTGACTAGAACGAGTTTTGGCGAATATTTTATGGGTTAATTAATTTTCATATGTATATGTATATTCTTTAAAATACTTTTAACAGATTAAATCTGAATAGATTTTGCAAGTTTTTAGACCTGTTTTTATTGCTGTCGTAGATTGTAACGTCACATGTATTCTGCATTTGATAAAATAAACATCTACTTTGAAATAGTCCATCCCTGTATCCTTTTCTGCATGGGTATAACAGGGTTTAAATAACAGAAGTCGAACCTAAACATGAACTGGATAAGCATCAGCTGGATATAAGCTTTGATAAACATATTTTAGATGCGAAATATTTATATTTTCGAACGTGATACTTACAATGTATATGATATAGTGCACTTGACAAACTTTCTGATTATTTGAATAAGTGTAAAGGGGAAACTTTTGGTGTGCATGTAACGATCGGACAAATTTAAATTGACAGTTGGTGGTGCTATAATGGAAAACTACAATTTAAAGTAGAATAAAACTACTCCATGTCAGTCTTCAGTTGTAATAAAAAGGCGATCGATATCAAAGGAATACGCAAACTCATGATTCGAAAACAAACTGACAATGGCATGGCAAAAAACAAAACAAACTGACAATAGCATGGCAAAAGACAAAACAAACTGACAATAGCATGGCAAAAACAAAACAAACTGACAATGACATGGCAAAAAACAAAACAAACTGACAATGGCATGGCAAAAAACAAAACAAACTGACAATGACATGGCAAAAAACAAAACAAACTGACAATGGCATGGCAAAAACAAAACAAACGAGGAAAGAAAAACATCAGTTAACAAAACACAACATATAAAATTTATATAAAGACTGAGCAACACGAACCCCACCAAACACCGGGCATATCCAGAAATCAACGCCACTTTGCTTATTTGAATATTATACTAAAGAAATCGGATACGTGTCACGGAAATTATATTGAAATGATAGGGAATTTTGAAAAAAATGTCTGTTTTAACTTTAATTTAAGTGATAGACAGGTTGCGGGGACAGAGAATAAATATACACAACAATATACACCATTTAAACGAAACATAATGACTGTCGTTGCAAAAATCAAGGTTCCTGAGCTATTTTAAAAATCGAAGCGAGAGGCTTTTAATATTGCAGTATAAAATACAGGCTAAAATGGCTGAAACGTCAAATTTGCAAATTTCGTGTTGAAAATTGGCTAACAAGGTCATTACAAAAACAGGTTGCGGGGATGAAACTTGAAACTTGAATGTCCAAAGAATAAGCAAGTCCAAACCTTGTATGTGTAGTCGTTGAACTCTAGGTTCCCACGTAAAGTTAAAATGCCCCTATTTCAAGAAGAATAAACTCACGAAAACACAAAAAATTCACTAAATTCGCGTTCATTGTTTTGATTTTGACCGCCTGACAACTTTACAGAAATATCAGAGTGATTATAAACAAGGACTCTGTGACGGGCAACTTATAATATCCTTGTTTTAAAGATTTTAATGATATCAAGCCAGTCCAGTTCAAACTATTATCACGTGGTACAATTCTCATTTACATATTATGAATATTAATTAGCAATAGTACTACTAATTTCTAGCTATGGGGTTATCTCAGGTGCTCCGGAAGGGTAGCTGATCCTGCTCTACATGTAGCACCCGTCGTGTTGCTCATAATAGTAAAACAACACCGGTGATAAGTGTAATTCGATAGGTCACATTTGAGGAAAAGAGTACGGGATTGTGGTTATGGCAATAGGAACATATCTGCTGTCATCAATTAAAAGATATTCCATAACGGTCAACCAACTCGTGATGACGTTCGTACAATTTTATAAAAAGAGAGACGAATAATACTAAAGGGACATTCAAACTGATAAGTCGAAAAAAAACTGACAACGATACGACAAAAAAAGAAAAAAAAACAAAAGACAGAGAACAGTTCACAAAACACAACACAGAAAACTAAAGACTGAGCAACACGAACCCCACCAGAAACATGAGGTGATCTCAGGTACTCCGGAAGATTAAGCAGATCCTGCTCCACATGTGGCACCCGTCGTGCTACTCATATTAGTACAAACCCGGTGATAAGTGGAATTCGCTAGGTCACATTCGGGGAAAAGGGGACGCGATATGTGGAAACGACAATTGAAACACATCCGTCATCATCTGTGAAACAGATATTCCATAGCGGTCAACCAACTTGTAATGGCGACGGGATGATTTCATCTTCACCACATGGAACTCAATAGCCTCCTTGTCAGCAGCAATTTTTAATATATGTATTCGAAACCTAACATAACATTACTCAAACACACACACATATTGGATTTAGTTATTATTTTAGGTCCCTTTTGGTTATATAGTTTTTTGCGCGTTTCGGTATTTTGCTTTAAAAGTGTTCCTCGTGCAGGTAAATATAGAAAAGCACTTCGGACACATAAAATTTATAAAGTGTTGCGTTCATTTTATTTAAGATGTTACGCAATGGATTAATAGGAATACTTTTGCATATTAAAATTTAAGTGAGCAAACATTGACGCTAGCACATCTTCTTATATTTTAATTTCCCACTTTCTAGTTGACATTTTGGTTTCAAGGGACACTATTATATATTGTGTATATATGTTACAGTACAAATTAGAATTCAGTAGGATTCAGAATCCTCAGATTTCTCCTAGTATATATTGGAATTGACATATCTACTGGTAGAAATTTGAATTTTTGTTTTATACTGTTTACAAACGAGTACAAATCAGATTTTCAATATCTACAAGTAGAAAATAAGATATCCAGATGTGTACTAGGAGTATCCTCGATTTTATTAAATGTCTAGTATGATTCTGGAGTATTTTTTTTTTACTGTTACTTTTGGCAAGTAGAACAAAAATGCAATCAAATGTCACTATGTGGTTTAGTTATAATAATGTTTTTGTCATATTATGCATCGAAGGGCATCAATACTATATATGAATTCATTTGTATCTGAAAGAGTTTAGACAATAGCGAAATTCTTCCAATAAAACTTTTGCATTTTAGACAGTTGCAAACAGATTATGAACAAATATGTCAAAATTAAAAGTTTCGATCATCTACAGGTATATATAATTTGATATGGAAGTACATTGATTGATTGATTGGTGTTTAACGCCACTTTCAACACTATTGTGCTATTTCGTGGCGGTTGGTTTTTATTGATTGAGGAAGCCGGAGTGCCAGGAGAGAGCCACCGACCTTCGGTAGGAAAACTGACAATCTTAGTCAAGTAAGATTGGAGTCGAGCGACCTGCACCGTGCGGGATTCGAACTCACAACCTCGGTGTTGACTGGCTACTGATACAGTAGATCGACTACTTAAACCACTTGGACACCGAGGCCCAGATATGGAAGTACAATGAACGGTTGTGAAATAAATAAAGGGGACATTGGCCATACATATACTTCTTTTCTTTTCTTGTTTGCGGACAAATTTTGATATATGTAAGTTTATTTTATGATTATTATGTAAATCAAAATATTTTTATAACTATAATACTTGTGTCCTTTTAAAAAAACCCATAAAGTTCAATCAATGATCCTCCTAGTAAACATCTGGATATCCTAAATTTCTAATGATAGATATATGAATTTAAATGTTTACATATTTGTGAATATTTTTAGCAACTATCTAAAATGTATAAGCAGAACATTCTTAACCAGAAACATTTTTTTGGAAGTATTTCTATATATTGTCTATACTCTTTCCAATACAAATTATACAAATGTATATACAGATATTGTATTTAGAAGATGATAAAATATTAAATGTGATAGCAGTTCTATAATCGTCTGGTGATACACTTGACACAAAATTGGAAGAACAAAAAACCAAAACAGGAAAACGAAACCACTAATGCTTAGTAATAAGGACAAACCAATTGGCATAGATATAATTACATCCTGTCAATTGATCATTTTTGAAGTATTTCCTTATTGTCACCAAACCATGAATACAGCGTTCGGGTTTATAAAAATACCAGGTCAATTCCTTATATGTCGATATACGAATAGGATATTCAAATATAAAAGATAAGTCCATACATTAAAACAAAATAAAATAAGATGTAGTATGAATAGTCATGATTATATCTCTTTTTTCAATATTTCAAATGATTTTTGCATTTGAAAACAATCTAAATTTTAATAAAAAAAAAAGATTTTTCATTCAACATAGTGTCTTTCCTTTAACGTATTAGAGAATCAAAAAGTGTTAATTAGGGTATAGAAATGTGGTCATTCCAGGACTTCTTCCGTCCGTCATTGAAACCCTATCTAATGTGGGCGTCCGTGTTGCTGTGCAGGGTGTATAAATACGGAGGCATTATCGGAATGGGGACGTCTAATCACATTAATCGGGAAAGGAGTGTATCATGCTGCCTCCTCACATCCAAGAACCATTGAAACAGTTATCTTATGTTCCCGTTGCTGGCCTTTTGCAAGTAAACTTTATGATCCTATCCAACGAACCTTCATATTGTTAACCAGAAGTCCAAATTCCCCCTCTTTCTATTTGAAGAACTTATTAATAGTATTAAACGTTAATTTGCTCTCATTCGGAATATGTACTAATGTTTGCCACCGGATGTTAAGGAATCATAAATAAATACATGAAGATATCAGTAAACAGTGGACATCCAGGACTTGCGACGCAATTATTACTTAACGCAAGTAACGGATATATATATATATATATAATGCATTTGTAGCCGGATGATATAATATGTTTCATGGATAAACTTGAACGTATAGGGGGAAAGTTGAGATCTCACAATACATGTTTAACCCCGCCGCATTTTTGCGCCTGTCCCAAGTCAGGAGCCACTGGCCTTTGTTAGTCTTGTATGATTTTTAATTTTAGTTTATTTATCTATTTCGGAGTTTAGTATGACGTCCATTATCACTGAACTAGTAAACATTTTTGTTTAGGGGCGAACTGAAGCACGCCTCCGGTTGTGGGATGTTCTCGCTGTGTTAAAGACCCATTGGTGGTCTTCGTCTGTTTTCTGCTCTTTGGTAGGGTTGTTGTCTCCTTGAGACATTCCCCATTTCCATTCTCAGTTTTATTTATTTGTTTAAATTTCATTATCACCTGTCTACTAGACATACAATCTCAATTAAAGAAGGATAGCTCAAATCAAGAGTATAAAACAGCCTCTA